CAGGAGATGTAAATACCACAGCAGATCTTTCTCTGTCTATGGCTGATGGTAGTCCATTGAGAGATGGACTTTAGAGCGACCTCCAGAAATTCAGTTTTCCTTGCCATAAGATTTCAGACGTGGTGATGGAAACCATGAAATAGAAGCATGTAGGACGCTCAAAATGGCATACCCGTGACAGCCATCGGTTTGCTGGCTTAGACTAACTTTGGCCATTGGTGACTGCTGATTTTAAGGAGGTTGATAAAGCAACTGTCTTCGTTAGAGACCAGTCATTTCTGTTTAACATTTGGATTTCTTCTTTCAGTGCAGGACAGGTTTTTATTCCAGATAACCTTCTGTTCCCTAAGTTGCTAAAGTGTGACAATGTCTTAAGACATACGGCATCTTATATTTTCCTGAACCCTAACTTTCATTATAAATATAAAGCTCTGTGTTAACTTGATAAAAATGTTTCATCCCCTAGTTTAATCCAGAAACTTCCCAAATGCATGTTATCATTTAGTATCTCCCTTGCACGTGTCCCCAAAAATGGATAATAATTTTTATATCCATGCCAGTTACTAAACACGCTATTTCAAAACACTGTTCAGTGAAATCAAAGAGGTTAAGCAAAGTCAGATAGGGTAAGCAGGTACTTGAAGCTTAATCACCTGTATAAAGCTAGGTGAACATCAGGATTTTGAAGTTCCAGAACATCCAAGTAGCAGTTCAGGCTAAATCAGGTAGTTAATGGATGCTGTAATTTACAGTTTGAACTTAAGGGAAGATGTGTGAGAAAGAACTCTGTTGGTTTGAAAAAAAAATCATGATAACTTTCCTATTGAGAATTGTAGCTGAGCAAAGACACTCATAATTAAATGCTGAAGATGAATGTTGAATGTTATTCAACTTCATAAACATGCTTTTAAAGCAGTAATTAAGTTAAGGATTTAAATGGATTGCCACCATCATGACAGGGCTCTGTTTTGGGACATTGGTTATCTAAGTTTATATCCTCTGTTTGTTGGAGTTTTCTTGGACTCTTGTAGTCTGGAAGCAGCAAGGATCGGTGTCCCTCAGCTCCTAGGTCAAAAGAATTTCTCAGAGCACTGACAGGGCTGTTCTGTTGTGTTTTGGCTGGATGATTTTTTTGTGTGGCTCTTTCCTGTTGACGGTGAAGAGACTCTCCTCCTCCTTGGCAAGCAAAATCCTGCTGTGACTCACTTCCAATCTTTAAGCACAGAATAGCTTAGAGGAAAAAAAAAAAAAAAAAAAAAAAAGAAAAAGTGCTTCATGTAAAGATGAGTATAGGCTCCAGTCATTGTTTGATACTTATTTGTGATTATTCCTGTTTGACTTTTATATCCAGAAAAAAACACTGGCAGGGACCTTTCTTTAGTTTAAGAAGTTCCACAAGTAGGGTTCTGTCATTGAGCATTTCCTCTTCATAACTGGTACCAGTAGTTTCCTTACTGGTATGGTAGGGCTTTGACAGGCTACAGCAAAGGTCTCCGAGAGCAACCGTTGAGATTCTCACAGCTGGCTCCAGGGCTGGATGGAGTGATCACACTGCTCCTGTATGATGTTTTGTCATTAACAAGTGTCTTCTAAGCAAGAAAGGCCAAAGTTGACAGGAAGAACACTGCTGCGGAGAAAGGTCGATCACTGGTTAGCTCTGAGATGGAAGACTAAGGAAGAAATGGTAAACCAGTGTGGGAATTGTATTCCTTGTGAACAGAGAAGTATTGTCACAAGAAAAATGGTCTGTTACTTTGATTCCTCCTCTATTCTTGTTCAGCGTTTTAATTTAATTTAAAATTTTAATAATTTAATAAGAATTAATTTGACTTAATTTGAAGTTGTAATTTAATTTGCAAAGAAAAATTAATGAATATGGTTTTATGTATGTTACATTATTGCAAATTATTATGAAGTCCATATGATAAAATCTTAGGAACAGCTTTGATACAAATTTGCAGCAGAGACTGTAGTTTGTGAAGCAAACTTTTTGTAAAGGCTGATTCCAATTTTGAAGAGCCTTCAGTTAACGTTCACGAAAGCTGTTTTTAAACAAACGATCTCAAACTTTGGCCAGGTCTCCGCTGCTCAAAGTCTTGCCAGCAAGAGCTGTATCAGCCAGGGGTGTGGAAAAAATCATGCATCCTTGCTGGCATCGTTGAGTTGGCAAAACCCCAGGTGTGGATGCAGCTGTGCCGGCAGAGGAGCACTTTTATCAACTTAGCTTATGTCGTCTGGGGAGGTGATGCAACTGCGCCAGCAGAAAAACTCTTCTCTTGGCATATGCTGCCAGCGCAGGAGGCTCTGCCAGCATGGCTGTAGCAGCAGGGCTCGGTACCGTTGAGGTCCCGAGCAGCAATTGCAACTGCAGCAATTAGAAGTTGAAAGGAAGAGCAGCATTCAGCAAAGCAGGGGCCTCTATTGTTTAATTTTTACATGAAGAAGATGGTTAAGAACAGAAAGAGCTATGTAAATTTTAAAATTTAAAATCAAGTTTTAATGTAAAAAGTATGTTTGAATCATATGACTTTGAGATGTCACTGGCCTTTTAACAGTTGTCTGTCTGTCATTGGGTTGCATGGTTTTGCGCTTTGTGCTGTCTTGGGAGGCCGGTAAAGGTAGGAGGTTCTGTGGAAGCAGCCAAAAGCCTCCTGCCTGTGAACTTAGGAAGACAACTGTAATCGCATTTACGTTCCTGGCACGTTTGGATGTAAGCACTCGCACCAGAGCATCTTCATATTTAAATACAAGTTTAAATTCCTCACAGCGTCG